TTTCTTCAAGTACAGATCTGATCCAAATGGCGTGATATACAACTTAGGATCCTGCTATATATTCAGCTTCACACGATGACAATACCACCACAGGTTGCTTCTTCGAACACCATGAGATTAGGGCACCAAATACTTGAATGAAATATCTAGTTGTGCTTCTTCAATCTTCCTTAACTCCACACCAATCAGCATCTAAAAACAATTAACTATTTCTTCTTTGTCTTCATAATCTCATCGAAATAGTATTCCACAGTTTATCGAACCCTTCAAACATATTAGGATTCTTCTTGCAGCCTTCATATGTGACACTCTTGGTTCACTCATATATCTACTTACTAATCCGACAGCGAAACCTATATCAGGTCGACTGTTGCACACATATCTCAGAGATCTCATGATTTGCTTGAACAAGGTTACATCGACTTTGTCTTTCTCTCCATTCTTTTCCAACTTCACATTTGGTTTGACAGGTGAGGATGCAGGATTTGAATCATCCATTCTGAATCTCTTGAGTATCTCTTTGACATACTTTCTTTGATGTAGCACCATACCTTGCTTCGACATTTGAAATTCCATGCCTAGGAAATAAGATAATTTTCCTAGATCCGAAATTTCAAATTCTTTTATCATCAACTCTTTGAATTTTAACAAGTTCTCCAAGCTGTTTTGAGTTACTAGAAGGTCATGGACGTATAAGTACATGATTGTTATATCTTGTTCTACAACCTGAACATAGACACCATACTCATATTTTCATTTGACAAATCCCAATTCGACTAAGTATGAGTCGATCTTCTTGTTCCATGCTCTAGATTTCAGCTTGAGGCTATATAGCATTTTGTGCAACTTATATAATTTACTCACTTTCTTCTTAATCACAAACCATGGAGGTTGTGTGACATAGACCTCTTCATCTAAAAGACCATTCAGAAATGATGATTTCACATCTAAATGAAATGTCTACCAACCTTAATTGCATGCCAATGCTACCACTAGTTGAATAGTCTCCAATCTTGCTATTGGAGAAAATACTTCAGAGTAGTCGAGTCCTTCTCGTTGAAGAAATCTTCGAGCTGCTAATCTTGCTTTATGTCTTGCTATCAAACCATTAGAATTGTGTTTCAAATTGAACACCCACTTCACTTTGATAACTTTTGTATATGTTGGCAATTCGACTAACTCCCATGTATTATTTCTTTTGATTGCCTGTATCTCTTAGACCATAACTAACTTCAATTGTTTAATCTTTAAATTTTTGTTATGGTTGATAGGTTCAGCACCTATAAGTAAAGTAAAATGAAATAATACTCCATCTAGTGTGACTTTATCATCACCTATTACCTCATAATCATGAAGTCTTGTTGGAAGAACTCAATTTCTTTGAGGTATTTGACTTATTTCAGCCATAGCCTCTTCGACTTCGACTGTGTCGGGAATGTCAGCAATTGCTTCAACTTCGACTTCAACTGGATTCTCAGCAATTCCTCCGACTTCATCATTTTCTTCGTTAAAATAGGAGCTCATCAATGGCTTGTTAATTGAATTAATAGAATTCCAATCCTAGGCATAATTTTCATCAATCACAATATTTCGACTCAACACAATCTTCTCATTAATTGGATTGAATAGCCTGTATGCACCAGTCTTGTGATATCCTACCAGAATCATAGCTTCACTCTTATCATCAAGCTTCCTTCTTATTGCATCAGGAATATACTTGTGACACATATAGCCAAACACCTTCAAATGACTCATTGGTTGTCGTTTTCCACTCCATAGTTCTTCAGGAACCATGTTCTTCAATATCTTGGTAGGACATGTGTTCAGGATATAAACTGTAGTTGACACAACTTCACCCCATAAATATTTTGGAAAATTCTTTTACTTCAACATGCATCTCGCCATATCCAATATGGTTTTGTTTCTTCTTTATGTAATTCCATTATGTTGAGGTGTATAAGGAGCAGCTACCTCATGATCAATACCATGTTATGCCCATAATTTTTCAAACATCTTCGAAGTGTATTCTCCACCTCCATCTGTTCTCAGAACTTTGATCCTCTTCTCACTCTGGTTTTCGACAAGCATCTTGAATCTCTTAAAGATTTCAAATACTTCGTCTTTTCTCTTGATCACATAGATCCACAACTTTCAACTAAACTCATCGACAAACGAAACAAAATATATGTCTCCACCAATGGTATGTTCTTCAAACTGACCGCGTACATCTGAATGTACCACTTCGAGTATGCATGATATTCTCATTGGCATATTCGAAACAAAAGAGTTTCTGGATTGCTTTCCGACTAAACAACCTTCACAAATATTTTTGAGTATCTCAAGACTTGGGATACCAGATACCATATCTTGAGTAACCAGCTGATTGAATGATCGAAAGTTCAAATGTCCAAACCTCAAATGCCACAACCAACTATCCTTGTGGTTGATAATAATTTTTAAACATTGAACTTTTGTCGAACTGGTCATAGTCTTAAATAACTTGTTCTTCGACAACCGAGATTTTAAGACCAAATTTTTCTTGGTGTCAAACAATTTTAAAGCTCCACCTTTCATAACAACTGGGAAGCCTTTTTTGACCAGTTGTCCAACACTTAGCAAGTTTCACTTTATTCCAGGTAGATAAAGCACATCTTTGATCATAAGCTTTCCCTCCATTACTCATTTGAAACACTATGTTGCCAGTACCTTCTGCTTGCAACAAACTATTATCAGTAAGTTTTACCTTTCTCTTCTTCGACTCATTAAAATCTACCAACCATTCCTTTCGACCAGTCATGTGATTCGAGCAGCCTGAGTCGAGAAACTAGATATTGGATTCGACATGATTATCTGTAATTGTAGCCATAAGCACCATACCACCTTCATAATCATCTGAAACTTGGCGTGCAAAGTTCGCTCCTTCATCCTTTCTTGTTGATCCCTTGTCTTTTCTGTACCAACAATTCTTGGCTACATGACCCCCCTTTTCACATTTATAGTATTGCACACCTTTTTTATCTTCTTTGTCCTTTCGATAATTTCCTCCTCCTCATTTTGAGGATTCAGAAGCTTTGTCTTCGACCCGATGCTTGTGAGAGTTCGACCAAGACTTCTTTCCATGAGTCTTGTCGACATTGCCTTTGAATTTGTTGGAACAACTATTCCTTTTCCACGACTGAGCTTGCAGTGCCTGTATCGAGTCCTGAACTTCTTTTCTTTCGAAAATCTTCATCTCATGCGCCTCCAATGAACCGACCAAATCTTCCACTTTTAGGGTTTTAAATTTGTTGGATTCTTGAATAGCTACGATAATATGATCAAAGTGAGAGGTTAACGTTATCATTACCTTCTCAACTATCATCTTATCAGTTATGGTTTCACCACAACCCTTCACGAGATGGACGAGTTTCTGAATCTTCGACATATATTCTATAACTCTTTCGTCTTCTCCCATCGACAACAACTCATATTGTCGACACAAGGTTTGTAACTTGACAACCTTGACCTTCCCACCTCCTTCGTAACACTTTACCAGAATATCCCATGCCTCTTTCGTTGTTACAGCATGAGAAATCATGTCGAAGTTAGCCGCGACGACCACCGTCTGAATGCAATAAGTAGCCTTGCAATCTTTCTTCTTGACTTTGTTGTAGGCTTTTCTTTGTTCACCGGTTGCATTTGCAGTCAACGCAGGAACGTCGTTGTCAACCACTTCTAGGGTTTCATGAAAGCCAAACAAGGATTGCGTCTGTTTTTTTCCATCGGATCCAATTTTTGTCGTCAAGCATTGGAAGAGAATTCGGAATGTCCTTATCACTAGCTATCTTCACATCGGTTGATTCACTTACCTTGAAAACACGATCTCTGATGTGAAGTTCTTGAAAACTCAATCAAGAACAATAATCGAAAGTTCTGGATACCAATTTGTAAGCGCGTGAGCCACTTTTAGTGAGAAGAGAAAGATAGAATAATAAAGGAAATAAGGATTATATTATTCACTTAATAAATTATACAAAATAAGGATACATACTATAACTATTTATATACAATGCTAATTAGACTTGGACTAACACAACTTAGATTATATTTAAATATTAAATCTAATCAAATCTAATTTAATCTATTTTAATATTTCAACAAGTTGTACATCTCAAATTTTAGAATCCGAAGAAATTTTTTTTTTCTTTCAAAACAAGAAATTTAAAGTGTTAGAAAAGAAACACAAATTAAACATTAGAATGCATATTTAGAGTGTGTTTAGATGAAGCATTTTAATGAGAATATAATATTTTGAGATAATTTAAAATAATTTAAACAAAATTTACTATTTTGATAAAAATGATGAAAAATTATTAAAATAATATAAATTTATGAAATATTTTATCTAAGTTAAATTTTATAATTTTAAAATATACCTAAAATCAAAATATTTCAAATTTGAAGCGATTTGGCCAGAGTTATGTATCAATATTATATAAATACTTAATAATCTATCTAATATTTGAAGGTTATTAATTATATTAAAACTAACTCTAGACACTACCACTACTCCATTTTATAAGCCACTTAAGCCGGACCCAAATCCCATGCAGTAAAAAAAACACATATCTATACATTCAAGTGTGTGAGACCGTCTGATCAAAATCAGACAGCTCTAATTTAAAGTTGTTAGTTTTGAATAAATCAAATCTATTTTTTCTGAATCACTTGATCAAGATCAAACAGTTCAATTGGTATACAAGAATACATAAAAAATAAATAAAAAATTTAAACAATTTAAAACACAATGACTCAATAATTGTAAAATGAAAAATCAATAAACAACTGAACTGAGTTCACAATCTTCACAAACTCAAAAACTTTTTAGCTGTAGTAATAGTAAGGCTTACAACCAAAGAACTTTTGTATGTTGAAACATTTGAAAGCCATACATTAATGATAAAAATGAATATAAATGTGACTTTTAACCAAGTAAAAAAGATGACCTCTTTTATTCTTTCTTATAATATAACACAAACACATTTGCTTTGCCTTGCTTCACTTCCTCCTTTCTTATCTGTTTCAAGAGAAAACAACCACAAAATCAATGAGATTCAAATTAAAAACCAAAATTATATGTACAAAACTTATTCATACACACTAATAATACTCTTAAAATTTGTAGTGTGATCTAACTCTAACTCTACAAAACCAACTTATAAAATAAGAATAGCCTCCGGACCCTGATTCTCTACCGTAAAAAAACACTATATTCATGCATTCAAGCATAAATCTATTTTAATTTAAAACTTATCAAAGATGGGACGGTTTTAATTTAAAACTAATACTTTTGGGAAAAAAATTAAATCTATTTTTTTAGCTGTGCGATTGAGATAAAATAACACTTTAGGAACGTGAATGCGACAAAAATCCGATGGTAGAAAATTCAATTTTGTTGCTTTCACTTATAAACACATATTCAAACCATATATTATTTGATGTGAGATACTTAACACATCTCCTTGTGTCGAACACTATTGACTTGATACGTGAATATAAATGATGGATAACACAACGGATTTTTAACTAGGCCCGGACACGGACACCATCTTAAAATTGTGGTGTGACCTAACTCAATTCTAAAAAATCTGTTTGTAAGATAAAAATTACTCTCACTTATAAACACGTATTCAAATCATATATTCAGATCGAAGACATGTTTAAGAAAAAAATATCAAACCTTTTTCCGAATTTGGTGGTTGAACCACCACAAGCATTGTTGTAACTCCACCAGGAAGATTGCACAATGGACTCTGACATTCCTCTACTGTTTTATTGTTCTCCAATATTTTTCCAGCACAAATCAACTTCACATCTTTTACAGTTCTTGGTCCATACTCTTTGTCTTCAAAAAAACAAACACAGTTTAAAATTTTCACATATATACAACTAAAACATCACTATAAATATCATCTTCATTTTTCAAAAGTTCGAACTCAAATACTCTGATTTATTACATTTTAACGAAGCTCATTAACCACTTGAACTCAAACACTTGATTGTTACATTGAAAGCCGTACGAAACGCATCGAATGAAAAACTATACAAACATGCACCATTCACAATAATGATCTAATCCAAACTCAAAAAGTAAAAACTATACACTAAAATGGAATCATCATAACTTCTTCTATACCAAATTATATTCTTTCTATCAATCAATACATTCACATTAATAGTTCTAAATTTCCATGTTATTCAATTCATGTAACTATCAGTTCTTCTTAATTTGCAGTACATCATTCATTACATCAGAAACAATTTGGTATCTTATTGTTCACAAGAAGACAAACAAAACACTGAAAAATCGTTTATCATATAAGTGCTTATGTATATAACTGTTTTCTTAGCGGAAAACAGCTTATTAGCTTATCCATATGTCATAATCTATTTTTACAAGATCACACAAACAAACAGTCTCACAATTTGCATCCGTAGATAAATTCAAATGAGTCAATCCAAACAGACTCTAAATAAGATCACAAAACTAACCTTTTGGCCATTGAGTAAGAATACTTTCTTTGAGTGTTGCAATACTAGTAGCAGCAGCATAGCTTTTCGGGCCAATATCCGATCCATCGCTCAATCGGAACTTAATCTCTATCTCATTTTGCTTCCCAGCCATAGTACCAACTTCAAGTATTGTACAAAATTTGACCGAAACAAACAAGGTTGAGTCCTCTCAATCACATTCAACACCAAAACAAGATGCAAAATCTGAAAAAGTAAAGCAAATAAGTAAGAAAAGATTAAACTTTTGATCAAATCAAAATAGCAGCGCAGATTATTGTCCATTTGTCTGTTATTTACGTATAATTTTACTGATATATAATAATGTTCCTCAAATCAAAATAAAAAAGCGATACTAATGACAATTTTACAACGATCACTCTGAACCAATTTGAATTTCGTTTCGAGAAATTACAAAATCAGAATTCAAATCACTAAGCTAACAGCTAGTGTATGAATAAATTGATTGAAATACAACAAACAACAAGCAATGATCCAAAAAAACATGATGACAGAATCAGAATTCAATCAACAAAGAAGGAATCTTACAAAGCTATATCTAAAAGCCAAAACCAATATACAATATTGAAATGGACATGAATTAAATCACAAAATCATATAGAATTCTGAATTGGGTCATCTACAAAATAAAATAAAAATTGAACCTTGATTGATGTTTTGTGTTGCAATGATTGAAATTCAGAAGAAGCCTCTCTCTCTCTCAGAGTTTGCTAAATGTTCTAAAGGTTGTAACTTTTCACATGGAAATGGAACATGTTATTCTTATCACAACATAGAATCAAAAGGGTCAACTTTTTGAGTGTCAGTTACTGTTCCAAAAACGTGAATCAGACAAACGCGTCTACGTATGTGTCCGTCATCATTTCCACATTCTTAACATTTTCATAATTGTTACCATCCTACCTTTTTCATCTTTAAAGGTAAACTTTTGACCATAGATTATAAAAAGAAATTTTAAAATATTTTTTAAATTTATTTTATATACAAAAGAAGAAGTAAATCAATATTATATCTTAAATTAGATTTTATTTTTTTGGTAAAGTTAGAGAACAGAAGGAAAAAGAAAGAAAGCAACAAGAAAATCGTGTACTATGATTATTTTAAAGAATAATATTAAAGTATAATATCATAATAAATATAATCGGATTCTATTTATTTTTCTTTTTAAACAATGATGAAATCAATGAGATAAAGATTGACATAGACTCTTTTTATCATGATATAATTTTTAATTTATAATTTATAGCTTATTAGTAAAAAACCGTGCATTTATCTAGGTTACATAATGAACTTTCTTAGTTGAGAAGTATATATAAATAGATAATAATTGTGAACTAATATTTGAAGGTGAGAAAAATATATAAGAAAGAGAGAGAGATTGAATTGTGTATCTGATAATTATTGCTTTTAAAATAATAACTTTTGAATATGATCAAATTCAGATTCTGAGCTAAAGTATGCAACAACGGAATAATATAAAGTATAAAAGCAATTAGTAAGTCACACAAAAAGATTATCCTGATTCTTCTATAATGAGAGTAGTGCAGTCCTCTTGCCATGCAAGAACTTTTTACTATAATCATTCAGATTACAATTTGCTCAATCACACTTGAAAGAGACTTTCTTGCTCAAACCAATTGTTCAAGATTTTTTGCTCAATCAAACTAGAAAGAGACTTTCTTACCCAAACTTATAGTCCAGGACTTCTTGCTCAAGTTCTCAGACAAGAGACTTCCTTGCTCAATCCTCCATATTGAGACTTCCTGCTCAAGTCCTCAAGCAAGAGACTTCCTTGCTCAATCCTCAGATCGAGACTTCCTACTCAAGCCCTCAAGCAAGAGACTTTCTTGCTCAATCCTCAGATCGAGAATTCCTGCTCAAGCCCTCAAGCAAGAGACTTTCAAATTCTTTTAACAAAAGATTCTGTTATTAACCTTTGTGTTTATATGTGTGCTTCTTAGTTAAGCAGATACACAGAGGTTTTACACTTTGAGCATGATATAGATTATGTAGCTCCTAAGTGTATAAGAATGAAATTTTCATTCTTTCTCTTCTTCTTCTTCATAGATGATCTTCATTTGTTCTGTCTTGCTGTTCTGTTGATCTGTTTGATCATATTCACATGTTCTTTCTTTTGACACTCCCAGTCATATGTGAATATGTCTCACTTTACTTTCTTTTCTCTTAACACACATTAACTCTTCTGGTTAGATTTCTTCTTCTTTGGTGTGTTTCTCTCATATGTGTTTTCGGGGTAACACAATTTTTCTCTCAACCCTCATCGTGTGTTCTAGTATCACATTCTTGTGAATTCAGTTATACACACACATATCTTCTTCTTCAATCTTCTTCTTCTTTTATAGATTATGAAAATAGATCTATTGAAGATTGGGACTTTCCATAATACAAGTAGCTGTTGAAGTTTGAAACTACCCATAATACAAGTAGTCGTTGAAGGTATTTAGCTAGAACACGTAAGGTGAAGTTTAAACACAACTAGCATAGAGACGTTGAGATGCACATAGTAGAGTTTGCAGAACAACTGAAGAGACGGGATCCTAAATCCGTTACTTTTTTATTAGACATAAAGTAGTTGTACGTTGTCACGAGATATTTTTGAGATAACTTCTGACTGAAGACTTCTTGTAGACGTTTATTGAAGCTTAAATAGAGTCATTGTTATCTATTATACTTAACTTCCTGAATCAGAGGCTTCTTATAGAATTAGTTAAAGCTTGATCAAAAGTTAGAATATGTCTTCAGAACCTGCTTAGAATGAGACTACAAAGTCTTGAGTTTATAGGTTCTGAGCTTACCTTTATCAGAGTCTTGATTAGAAAAAATCTGAATGGTTACTTTTAGAGTTGTTGACTTGATATAGACAATAATCCTTTGAAGTAGAGACTTCAGAACTGTTGATGAATCTTGTTCTGAAGTTGAAGGGTCATTCCTTATGACACGTCTTCTTGTTTCAAACGATTCTACTCTTCAGACATTGCTGGTCTTCAGTGTAACACCCTAATTCTACCCCGGCAAATTATATAAATAAATCAGAGTTATAAAATTCAATCACGCAAACGAATTGGGATGTCACAAATTCTTCTATCAAAAATTCATTGCATTCATCGTGGATATATAACACTTTCAAAATATCGGATGAACCATCATAACATCTTTAATTAAATAACTCAACATCTACGCAGCGGAATTCTCAATTACAATTTAATCATCAATACAACAACTTCAAAACAACACAATTTAATAATAATTAACAATAAAAAACAGCAAGCGTTCATCCCCCCGAGTGTTACATATCAGAGCAATGACACCGACTCGAACTACCGAAGGTATACATCCTTCACTCTCGATTACCTGCACGTTACCAACACAAGGGCAACATTCAAACAGAAGGGGTGAGATATCTAAAAATATAATAAAGCACATGATAATTAATATATTAAATTAGATCAATACACATCACCACTTCTCATCTCATAATCAACAATAATCACAAAAATAATACACATTCACAACATCATTATACGCTTCTTCATGCAAGCATATAACGCGACTCAATACTATGCAAATGCATGTGGTACCATTGGAGCAGAACTCCCATCTCAAAAATTTGCCAATTAATAGAGGCATCAACAAGGCATAAGCCTTCATCTTAAAATTCGCCAATACATGCCACCTCAACGAGCATAAGCTCCATCTCAAAAATGCAATGTATGCGACACAACCATGGATGTAATAACAACACCCAAGTTAACAACATCTCAAATTAACATCTCAAAAGCATCTCAAATTAACAACATCTCGAAAACATCTCAATGTCTCTTCATCAACATCTCATATCATCATAATAATTCATCAAACATCATTTATTTATTATAAATCATCAACACAACATCATTAATAACTTCTCACTAACAACTCAGCTGTACATTAATACCACAGTAGTTCATACTGCTATTCTATAATTCTTACATCATTACTGTCACTAATCCTACTGTTATAATTCTAACAGCAGCCTCTAGGCATCTAATTTGCATCATTCTGTTCAAAACCAATGCCACGGTCAACATGGGAATTAATTTTAAATCCTAAATTGGCTACTAGAATTACACTTATTATTCTTCATTTTAATCCTCTAGAATAATGTTCATCGCGTTAGCTATCCAACACTTCGAACGACATCTCAAACGGAATCCTAAAACTCAAGTTACAACAATTTAAAACTGAATCTGCCAAAAATCAGGCATTATGGGTCGACGCAAAACCCCTTGGATCGACGCGTACTGCTCTAACTGCACAACATGAGTCGATGCATCCTCTCATGGATCGACTCATCCTGAGTCTTGTACACAGCATGTATTGACACATGCATCCCACAGATCGACTCATCCTGAGTCTTTCAACCTTCATGTATCGACACAAGCCTCTTCGTGTCGACTCATACTGAGTCTCTAAGGCCCTCATGTATCGACGCATCAAGTTTGAGGTCGATACATCTTGATCCTTCCTGCATAATTATGCGATTTTCTTCCATGCATCTCACTACAGGATTCATGTTTTTAACCCTACAACCTTAATATAATCATGATAAATCATCACCTTTAATTATCCTATAATACTACATCGATCAAACAACTTCGGGACATCATTATTCATCTAAAATTCATCAAATCTTCATCATACATCATCATATACATCCAATTCAAGAACAAAACAGAAATCACCTCTAACCCGATATATCAAACATCATGAACCCAATTATAATGTCAGAACCCCACCCTTACCTTGGATTGAAGGTCGCTCTATAATTTTCCGGTTGAATTCTCGTTCTTCCATTTTTTCACTTTTTCTAGCAGCTTCATGTTCTCCTTCTCAATCCTTATTCTTCTACTGCTTCTTTTTTTCTATTCCTTCTAACAACAATAGAATAACCTATTATTCTTTATTTTTTATTGGGCTTAAAACTAATACACCTCCTTATTATTTCTATTCCTTCGAATAAGCCCACACCAAATAATATTATAATTTTAATATTATTTCTCCACTTAATAAATAAATCCAATTACTCATAACACA